GATGTTTAAAACTCAGTGCTGTACTGAGGATGCTCGATTCATTTTTCTGATAACGCTGCCTAACATTTGCTGAAGACCACCACCTTTCAGTAAGTTAGATTTCACTATCGCTGAAGACCACCACCTTTCAGTAAGCTAGACTTCACTATCGCTGAAGACCACCACCTTTCAGTAAGTTAGATTTCACTATCGCTGAAGACCACCACCTTTCAGTAAGCTAGACTTCACTATCGCTGAAGACCACCACCTTTCAGTAAGCTAGACTTCACTATCGCTGAAGACCACCACCTTTCAGTAAGCTAGACTTCACTATCGCTGAAGACCACCACCTTTCAGTAAGCTAGACTTCACTATCGCTGAAGACCACCACCTTTCAGTAAGCTAGACTTCACTATCGCTGAAGACCACCACCTTTCAGTAAGCTAGATTTCCTATCCCTTAAACACATTAACTTTTAGCTTGCTGAAGACCACCACCTTTCAGTAAGCTAGATTTCACTATCGCTGAAGACCACCACCTTTCAGTAAGCTAGATTTCCTATCCCTTAAACACATTAACTTTTAGCTTGCTGAAGACCACCACCTTTTAGTAAGTTAGATTTCCTATCCTTTAAACACATTAACTTTTAGCTTGCTTTTTGGGTGACATTAGCTTTTTGGAAAACATACTGTCACAAAATTAAGGATAAAGAAACACTCACCAGATCACACAATTTTAACACAACTGACATAACATACGGCAGAGTAGGTCTACATCAACTGAGCTGCAGATTGATTGTGCAGGAATTTTAACTTTTCGTTTTTGAAATTTCTTTTGATTTTTTTTTTTTTTCTGGCAGCACTGGGGCTTTAACTCAGAGTCTCACACTTGCCAGGCAGGAGCTCTACCACCTGAGTCACTCCATCAGTTCTTTTTGTGTGTGTGTTTGTTGGGTATTTTCAAGATAGTGTCTCTTGAACTGTTTGCCTCGGGCTGGCTTTGAACCACAGTCCTCCTGATATCTGCCTCCTAAGCAGCTAGGATTACAGGCATGAGGCACCCGTGCCAGACCCTTCTTCTTTTTTTTTTAATCTATTTTTTTGCCTTACTGTACTGTACTTGGTCAGAACCACATGTAACAAATCTGCAGTTAAGGCAGACTCACTGTACTACTGACAGACATGCTTCTAGAGTTTACAGCATTGGAATCATGATGTATGTAACATTTTGCAGTTCCTCGTTACTTTTTGTTTTTGCAGTGTTAGAAATTGAACTCAGGGCCTCAAGCATGTTAGGCAAGCTCTCTGTAAATGAGCTACTACCCTAGCCTTATTCTTTTCAATAAAGTTAACTGGGCTGGTGGCTTGGCTCAAGTGGTAGCGTGTCTTCCTAGCAAGTGCAAGGCTCTGAGTTCAAACCCCTGTACTGCTTTCCCAATCCCTAAAAAAGGGAATGTTAATAAGATAGAATAAATTACTCAAGGGTTAAAAAAAATAAGGTATCAGAGTGATCAGTTCTAAGAAGGGTAAATAGTACATCAGGTGTAGTGGTGCTTACACTTGGAAAGCAGAGGCAGATTGTGAGTTCTAGGCCAGCTTGGGCAACATGTCTCAAAGTAACCAAAACAAAACCAAACAAAAAACAAATAAAAGGCAAATATTATTTCATGAAACTATGTTTTCACTTATACAAATATACATGTGAACTAGCTTACACATGAATTGTATTTCTGATTCTGGATGAGGAATTTACTTAGAATATGAATTGCTAGATTGTAGTTTGTGCTCATGTTCAATTTTATGACATACAGGTCCAAGGCTACTCTCCATCATTCTGAACTTCCAAAATTTTTTATTTTTTTATTTTTTATTATTCATATGTGCATACAATGCTTGGGTCATTTCTCCCCCATGCCCCCACCCCCTCCCTTATCACCCACTCCACCCCCTCCCTCTCCCCCCCATCCCCTCAATACCCAGCAGAAACTATTTTGCCCTTATCTCTAATTTTGTTGAAGAGAGAGTATAAGCAATAATAGGAAGGAACAAGGGTTTTTGCTAGTTGAGATAAGGATAGCTATACAAGGAATTGACTCACATTAATTTCCTCTGTGTGTGTGTTACCTTCTAGGTTAATTCTTTTTGATCTAACCTTTTCTCTAGTTCCTGGTCCCCTTCTCCTATTGGCCTCAGTTGCTTTTAAGGTATCTGCTTTAGTTTCTCTGCGTTGAGGGCAACAAATGCTATCTAGTTTTTGAGGTGTCTTACCTATCCTCATATCTCCCTTGTGTGCTCTCGCTTTTATCTTGTGATTAAAGTTCAGTTCCTTGTTGTGTTTGCCCTTGATCTAATGTCCGCATATTGAACCTCCAAAAATTTTTAAAGTTACCTTTCCATAAATCTACAACAAAGTTCTATGGTAGTGAAAACTTACCTAAAATGAGCTGAGACTATTTAAAGTCTATATTTATTCCATTTAGTATGAATATTCATGTTTCACTGCAGAAAAACTAAGGTTTTAACCATAGGATGCTGCTCCTAAGCCATTAATAGTGGAAATATAAAAACAGTGTGCACATGTGCCTTGTACCTTTCACACTAAAATAAATACTGAAGCACATCTGTTCTCAAATATTTTCAATAAAGAATTGCAGATTAAAATGCTCTCTAAATTGGTGGAACCAATTTACAGTTCCACCAGCAGTATGAGAGAATTCAGTGTCCCCAGGCTTTGCCAGACTTAACATTGTCAGACTTGGTAAGTGTCTTTCAGTGGGAAAAGACAGCTTGTCCTTACGTTCATTTGCATTTCCCTGGTTACTGACAAGAACGAGCAGATTTTCTTCTGTGTATTGGCCATCTGACTTTCTTCTGGGACTTTTCTGTTCAAGGCATGGTTACCTATCTTTTCAGTACTATTTCTTTAGTTCCCTACTGTTGGGGCTCAGAGAAAGATACTCTGAAAATATGGCATCTTTTTGCATGCTGAGCAATTAAGTCTAAAGGAAACAGAAGATCTAAAGGTCTTAAAAGCTGTCTCAAGCTAGGCGCTGGTGGCTCACACCTGTAATCCTAGCTATTCAGGAGGCAGATATCAGGAGGATCGTGGTTCAAAGCCAGCCTTGGGCAAATGGTTTGTGAGCCCTACCTCAAAAATACCCATCAAAAAAAGGGCTGGCAGAGTGCCTCAAGGGGTAAAAAGGCCTGCCTATTAAGCATGAGGCCCTGAGTTCAAAACCCCAGTGCTGAAAAAACAAAACAAAACAGTCTCAAATTCAAGATCCCTCTCACCTTCTCTTGCTTCTCTGCCCTTCAAGTGCAGATTTTTTTTTTTTTTTGTGTGAGACTGGGGTTTGGAGTAGATAGACTGTTTTCAAACTTCTGTCTAAAGTTTGGAGTCATCAAATAAGTGTGATCGATCCCTTCCTTGACTTTAACTTAACTCTCATGGCAGGTGTTGGCAATAATGGCACCGATAGATTTCAGTTCTTACTGCACCCTTAAGCTCCTGTTTTCCAGGGTCACGGTCCTGCCTCCCAGGGTCACAGTCCTGCCTCAAGTCTAGCTTGAACCCTCCTTCTGCCCCGACCTCCAATCAGCCCCAACCTCCAATCAGCATGAACCATCAGATCCTAACCAATCAGATCATGCTGAGTCCCACTGAGGGGTATTTAAGCCCCTGCCCCTCTCTCCCTCTCTTGGCTCTCTGCTCTCTCCCTCTCCCACCTGGCAATAAAGAAATCTCTTGGCCAGATCACTCCTCTCCACGTGGTCACATTTTGGGGCCTATATTTCCTTACAGCAGGCAGAAAGATTGAGACAAATCTGTCACCTGGACAGATTGTCACATACCATTGTCTTCTATTTTGGTTCTTAGAGAAGCATTTACAAACCACCGTTTTGCAGCTCAATGGCTTTGTATGTTCTTCATGTCCATTGAGTTCCCCTCCCTGAATAATTTGTTGTTCCCCTATAGAAAGACGGGTAGAGAAGTTTCTGAATCATGCTGGGGTGGGAGGTAATCACACCCTGTGATTCTTCTCTGTGCTGTGGTTTTCCCTGTTTTGCACATTAATAAATCTGCATTCCTTTTCTCTTACTTAATCTGTCTACTGTCAGTTCATTCCAGTTAATCTTCAGAAGGTAGTTGACAGTGTGTAGGTGGGCATTTCCCTTTGCCCCTGCACTACAGACTCCAACACCATATTGAAGTAATCTTTGTTTGTTTGTTTTTTAATATGGTGGGGAATTTAGATTTGTCCTCTTAAACTTCTTTTTCCTTGACATAATAATGGTAGAAGATTAAACTAAGAAATTTCTAATGACGATTTCTGTCTTTCTCAATAAAAGGTGAAATATTCAAGGTCCACAGCGTAAAAATGTCAAAAAAAAAAAAAAAAGGTTTCTCCCCCACCCACAACTAATTAAAATTTGTGCCCCAAACCTGCATTAGTCAATGATACCAGATTATGTCTTAAAAGATATTCCAGCTTAATATAATCCAAGGTGTAAATATTGAGATTTTTGGAACTTTAGCTAAACAGACTTGGCTTGATGGCTTAGATGCTTAAGTAAGCCTGCTTCTTTGGCCTGGAGGGAGACTAAAGCATCTCACAGGTTGTCTCTCTCTGACAAGAAGTCTCAGGTGAAGGACAATCTGAAAGCTGTGAGGTTGACAGAGAAAAACAAAACAAGAACAAAAAACCCGTGACTTCTTCCTGCCTCAGTGCATATAACAGAAAATTATGGAAAACCTGAAGTTCTTCCTTATCACTGTGTTGGCGTGGCTGTGGGTGAAATGAAATTTTTCTGACATGGCCTTTGCTCCTGGGTGTGAATTTTTATTTGTGATATATGAAAAGGACTGCACCCAGAAGAATTAAGTGGGTAGAAGATTCTGGTCTCATCCTTTTTTTGGATGAACCCATGTGTCTGGTAAGCAAGTATGTTTTACCACGAGATACACCCCCAACCCCTTTGGTTCCATTGTTTTTTTTTTCTTGAGACTGGCCTCTGTCTAGCTCCTGGACTCAAGTTGTTTACAGCGCTGGTTCTGTCTGTACTCAAAAGACTTCCTAATTCTTGTCCTGTGTAGAAGAATCCATGGCAGGAAACATGGGGGTAAATGGAGTTTATTAAAAGTTAGGGAAGGGAAACATGGTGAGGCCTAGGTGGAAGCCGGAAGCTGGTTTCTGTTCTTCAGGTCTTTTAAAACCAATGATAACCTATGGGGAGGGAAAAAATACAGAGATATCCAATTAATCAATGAGGGAGGAGGGCTGGGGATTCCCAGCCAGGTGAAGGTGGTTTCTGAGCCAAAGCATGGTTAATCTGAGATGTAATATTTTTTTCTATGAGTCCCTAAATAGCCTGCCTAAAAGTGCTGCTCCCTCCTCCCAAGTAGTTGGGATGACATGTGGCACCACTGGACCCAGTTACTGGTTCCTTCTTAATCAGAAAAAGTAATTACTTACATTAGATGAGTCCTTTACTGTTATGAATTGCTTTTGTAGAAGATATATTGTTTGAGAAATTCTGTATGCCTTATGAAGTAGAAATGTTTGTTCTCATTTTTCAGTCCAGAAAACTCAGGTCTGAGAGAAGAAGTGATTTTTACTTAGTTCATCTAAAGGCCAGATCTGGAAAAGGATAAGAGGGATAAATTATAGATGGATCTTGAACACACTCACAGGTCTACTGGACTGGCAGGGAATGGAATTAAAATTAGCTGGGGACTGGTCAAGTGGAGAGATTACAGGCCCTTCTTTAAAAGATGGCTATCTGTCATCACTGACCTATCATTGCCATGTGGGAACATGGGCCAGTGTTGCCAGAGCTCTGACTTTCAAGAGCAATGATAAATCCAGATTGTATAAAAAATACCCTGGTTTTTACATGGTGGCAAGCCATTCAAATTAAAGAAATGTGAGTATGTGTTTTTGTCTGACAATGATTGTTAGGAGTGGGAGACTCCTAGTAAAGTAGATCCTTGAATGAATATATTCCATAGGAAGGACTGTGCTAAGCATTCACCATGTATCATTACCTGAATCCTTGTCCTGTCTCTGTTAGATGAGGATCTCCATGTTAAAGCTGGAAATGACCAGGTGCTGTTCGCTCATGCCTGTAATCTTAGCTACTCAGGAGGCAGAGATTAGGAGGATTGTGGTTCAAAGTCAGCCCGGGAAAATAGTTCTGTGAGACCCAATCTCAAAAAACCCTTCACAAAAAAAAGGAAAAAAAAAAAAAAGCTGAGAATGAAACTTTCTCAGAGCGACACAGTCAATAGGTGCAGAGCCAGGACCTGTCCAGCATTTGCTGGACATCAATGTGAGCAGTGTCCAAGGGTGGGCAGTGAGAGCAGTCTGCTCTAGGTGTGACAGTAAGAGGGAGCATTATCTATGGGCAGTTTTACAACAGTAATACAAGTGAACTCAGGTTGTATGATGACCATGCAAAAACAAAATTAAATAATGTCAGGGATAAAATACATACTCTGTAGGCATAAGTGCTAAAACAGCTATGGCTACTATTGAAGGGTTTTAGAAAAATCTTTATTTTTAATTGTGGTAAAATACACCTAACATCTTAACCATTTTAAGTGACACAGCTCATTATTGTTCAGTATATTTACACTGTTTTGCAACCAATCTCTAGACTCTTTCAACTTATAAAACTAAACCTCTGCACCCATAACAGCAACTCTTCACTTTACCCCTAGTCCTTGTCAGCCACCTTTGTATTTTTGTCTCTATGAATGTGGCAACTTTAGGAATCTTATACAAGTGGAATCATATAATAGTTGTCCTTTTGTGACTGACTTATTTCACTTAGCCTAGTGTTTTTGAGGTTCAGCCATGTTGTGGCATGTGACAGAATTTCCTTCCTTTTTCAGGCCAAATAATATTCCATTTTGTGTATCTACCACATTTTTGTTTATCCATTTGTCTGTGGGTGGACACTTGGGTTGTTCTCACGTTTTGATTCCTGTCAGTGATGCCACTGTAAATATGCATGTGCAAATACCAGGTCAAGACCCTACTTTCAATTCTTTTGAATATTTACCCAGACATAGGATTGCTGGGTCATATGATAGTTCTCTGTTTAACTGCTTTCCACAGCAACTGCACCATTTTACACTTCCACAAACCGTGCACAATGATTCCAAATTCTGCACACCTTCACTAACACTTGTGTTTTGTGTGAGGTGATATCTCATTGTGGTTTTGATTTGCATTTCCCATTCTATATGACCACTTGTAGTTCTTATGTAGTTAAAAAAATTTTTAATTTATTATTATTTTTTTTTTTGGTGGGACTGGGTTTGAACTAAGGGCCTCATGCTTGCAAAGCAGGGGCTCTACCACTTGAGCCACGTGTCCAGTCCATTTTGCTCTGGTTATTTTGGAGATGGGGTCTCATGGACTATTTGCCTGGGCCTTGATGTGTACCTGTCACATCCTCAAGTGCTGGGATTATAGGTAAGAACCATGCTCAGCTATTTATTTAGTATGGGAATTTGCTTATGTGATTGTGGAGGCTCAGATGTCCAACACTCTTCCACCCAGATGCTGGAGAAGTAGAGAAACTAGTGGTGTAAATCATTTCAAGTCTGCAGCTTGAGAACCAGAGAGCCAATGGTGCAGCTCATGGTTAAGTTTGAAGGCCTGAGAAGGTGGGGAGGCAAACTAGAGTAGGTATGTCTTATGTCTAGTATATTCTAGCTAAACAGTGAATTCCCGTTTTCTACCCTCTTCTTCTATTCAGGCCCTTAATGGGGTGGATGCTGCCCACTGCCCACACAGGTGATGATGGTAGATTTTTACTCCAGATTCAAATGCTAATCTCTTCCATTGAAACCATCACAGATAAACTACAGTTGCTTACTCTGCAGCCACTGCCCTCAGTGATGGCGGTGGGGAAGAAGGTCAGTGGTCCTCAGGAAGCTTGTTGGCTGAAGCAAATACTCACTGATCCTGGTAGAGGACGAATGTAGCCAGTGTGGGGGAGACAAATCTCCAGTGAGACTAAGTACACACAGAAAATGGACCCCACAAGCAGGCAGCATGTCTGGGCATTGATAGAAAGCAGCTGTTTCTTCCCCTCACTTCCTTCTTCTCTCCTCTCTTTGTTTCTTCCCTCTCTCCCTTCCTCCCCTTTCCTTACTTCCTTTTTCTTTCTTTTTCCCCCACCCCTTTTCAGTATTGGGTTTGAACTCAGGGCCTCATGTTTGCTAGGCAGGCACTCTACTACTTCAGCCACTCCGCCAACCCCAAGTAGCAGTTTCTGTAACTAAGTGATGTCATTAATGAGGTTTTGGAAAGCACTTTGCCAAGGTAGGAGACATCCCAACACTCTCAGTAGTTTTCTCCCTTTGTATTTTCCTCTAAGTTCAAAGTGTGAAAGGTCCATGGTGGATGTCCCTTTCCTAAGTTCTCAAGAACCATGACTACACTTCAGGACAGGGTTGGTGTGTGAGTCAGCATTAGAGCTCTTGCTAGCATGTACGAGGCCCTGGGTTCCATCCCTAACACTCCCCTCTCCCACACCAACAAAACAAATAAAACCAAACCTTCCAGACAGACAAAGTCTTGTGACAGAGAAACCAGGACTGCTGCTGTACCAGGGCTCACATACAGGATGCCAGAGGCCATCCTGTGGGGCCTGGGGAGGCAGGACTAAGCTTGGGGTGTTCTGAAATGCAAACCTCTAGTCCGCAGATACGGGGGCAACCCTGAAATTGCAAAGGGAAAAAGAGAGATGGCCGGGGACATATAGACTGAAAGAGCCTTAAAAGAGGGCTGGTGGTTTCGCTCAATGGTAGTGTGCCTACATAGCAAGCATGAGGCCCTGAGTTTAACCCACAGTACTGCAAAAAAAAAAAAAAAAAAAAAAAGTCTTAAAAGATACTGTAATCAGTTGTAATGTCAGAACTTTTGTTGGATCCTAATTCTTTTTGAGATGGAGCCTTGCTATGTTGCCCAGGCTACAACTCAAACTCCCAGGCTCAAGTGATTCTGCCTCAGCTTCTGGAGTAGATGGTATTGCAGGTGTACATCATCACCACGACTGCAATCCTGATTTGAACCCACACCATAAAACAATTAGGGCATTTTATGACATAGTTGAAAATTTGAAGTCTATTAGGACTAAGGAATTACTAATATTTTAGGTATGATAGTATTGTAGTTATATATAAAAGGGTCTTTTTTTCTTAGATATTAAAATACAGATGAAATGATAGGATATTTTCATCTTTTGTTTCAAAGTGAGACAGGGTGGAAGTTGGCTGCAAGAGAATTGGTCATGCATTGTGGCCACAGGACTGGATGGTCATGAAGCTTTATTATGTGATTCTGTCTACTTCTGTGAGTGTTTGAGGTGCTCCACTGAAAATGTTTTTTTTCACCTTTGTGGTACTAAGGGTTAAATCCAGGGCCCTGGGCATGCTAGGCAAGCACTGAGTTATTCTCTCAGCCCTTTTGATTTTATTTTTGAGGTAAGGTCTCACTGCTTTTTTTTTTGGATGAGTTGGCCTCAAACACTCTATCCTCCTGCCTGCCTCCCATGCAGCTGGAATTAAAGATATGGTCAACCATGCCTGGCTTGTAAAATGATTTCTTTTTAAAAAGTTACTAAGTTAAAAAGAAAACAACAAAAAAGTTACTAAGTTGATCGCTACAAAAAGAAGCTGGATAGGCTCCAACATGTCAGTACCTAACAAGGAAAAGTTAATGACCTTAAACATTCTCTGTCAATCCTTATATTCTCTAGAGAAAGGCCCAGTTTGGTGTGGCTGGGTCTTGACACTGGCTTGGGCTTTGGCATCTTCCAACTGAAGCCCCCAGATGTAGACCTTGGGCTCCCATTCTTCAGCAGGAAACAGCATGTCCATGTAATGGGTGACATCCCTTTGTTTCCTTTATTTATTTCCTGGTTACTTCTATTTTGACAACCAATACTGGTTTTCTATTTACAAAAGCAGTAAGGTTTACTTCTTAAATATATGCAAACATCTTGATTTAAAGACATCGGAAATAACAGCATAGGTGGTACTCATATACTGTAAAAATTTTTTAGGGTGCTAGGAAATAACAGAAGTTTGGGAGGCACTGATAACAAGTTGCAGGAAATATTGTATTTGTCAGGTAGACTAAGTGTCTCACACGAATTGGACTTCTGTTCCTGAGGGTTTCTGTGCCTGGGGCCCAATGGTCTGCTCACTGCCACCGCCTCCCCCAGCTCCTGCAGAACTGAAGAGGACCCAATGGCAGGGAGTGGAAACACATTATACAGAGGAGGTGGAGGCAGTTCCACTCCCATGGGGCCCCAGCCAGGCCCCAGCCAGTACCCCTCACCATGTTTGGAGATGATTGAAAATGGGAGAAGGGACAACTTTAAATACAGTGTAAAAGGTGAAAATCTCAAATGGCAAAATGTTTTCCCCATTATTCTGTGGTTTTCCACTGGTTGTTTTCTGCTTGGAAAACATTCTTATTATCTTAAAATGAGCACACAGGCAGTTAGCAACTTGTGTCTACTCAGATGTGCTGTTAGACCTGTTTGTATGTTTGCTTTTTTGTATGTGACCAACTTTTTTGTTTTTTTGTTTTTTTTGAGACAGGGTCTTGCTATATAGCACAGGCTAACCTGGTATTCACTATGTAACCCAGGTTGGCTTCAAACTCAATCTTCTTGCCTCAGCTTCTAGAGTGCTGGGATTAGTTGTGTGCCACCACACCTGGCTAAACTTTCTTTTTTTTTTTTTTTTAGATAGCTGTAGATTCACATGCAGTTGTAAAAAATAATAGAGACATTCCATGTACCCTTCCTGGTTTCCACCCTATTTTGCAAAAACAGGGAGTTGACCTTGATGCAGTCAAGATACAGAACATTTCCTTCACCACCAGAACCAGTGGCACTGCCCTTATATAGACACCCACCTCATCCCTCACCCTCTTTCTATAACTTTGCCATTTCATGAATGTTGTATAAATGCAATTGTATAGTACATAACTATTAGTCAGCTTTGTTACTACAATGGAAAACCTAAGACAGCTAACGTTACAAAGAAAAATGGTTTATTTAGCTCAGTTTTGGAGTTCAGGGCATGCACCTGCACTGCTCAGTTCTGCTGAGGAACTCATGGTCGATGGCAGTGGCAGGAGCAAGTGTCAGGGGAAGGGGTCCCATCTTGAGCCAGGGAGTAGAAAGAGAAACTGGGGTCCCTGAATCCCTTCTAAGGGTACACCCCTAGTCACTTGAGAACCTTCTACTAGGTTCCACCCTTTAAAAGTCCACAGCACTTTCCAATATCACCACTCTGGAGACCAACCTCTAATCACAACAGACTCTTAGGGATACTCAAAACCACAGTAGTTACCTTTTCTTGATTCTTTTCAGTCAGCATAATTCCCTGGAGGTTGATCAAAGTTGTATATGCCAATAGTTCATTTCTTTTTATTGCTAAATAATTTTTCATTGTATGAATGTGCTACAGTATGCTTAACCATCATCCATTGAAGGACCTTTGTGCTGTTTCCAGATTGAGTTTATTATGAATCATTTTATGTAGAGGGGTTTGTGGTGAACATTTCTTTTCATTTCTCTGGGATAAATGTCCAAGAGTGTGTGTGTTTGTTTTTAATAACTTAGTTGCCATCATTTGCAACCAAGATATTTTGTGGAGAAATCCATGCTACTCATTTCTCAACAACCAGATCTCAAAAGTTGGGCCACAGGGACTCATGATCCTAATGGACCAGAGACCTCCAGTTCCCTTGTGTCCGACCTGGTCCCTTTTACTTGCTTACCTGTCTGGCAAGGGACACATACATATATATTTGCTGTATATGCACAAAATTTCTCTCAAATTTACTCATGTTTACTCTATGGAAGACACTGGTTGCCAACAGGGAAGGGTGGAACAGTGAGGAGACTCACTGTGAACCCATTTTAGACTTTTTAGTTAAAGCTATGTGACACTATTACCTACGCAAAAATGACTCAGTAAGGGCTGGGGGTATAGCTCGGGGGTATAGCTCAGTGGTAGAGCACTTGCTTAGCATGTGCAGGGCCTTGCATTTGATCCCTAGCACTGCAAATAAATAAATAAAACCATAAAAGAAGACTTCTTCACAGATACCTCTGAACTCCCTTTTCTATAGATCTTTCTTCTGTTTTTCCAAAGAAGAGAACCCATGGGAATTTCCCCTCCCAGAGCACCTGGCTCCCTACAGCAAAGACATTCCTTCTTCTAGCTCTGAACTCACCAGAGAAACATCCCTTGTCTAGGGCCTTCAGGCTTTGGGGGTGACCCTCAAATATCCCTCATTCCATCCCAAAGCCTCAAAGTCCCAAAGCCCCAAGGTTCTGGAGCACGCCTCTGAAGCCCAGTGAGGTGTTTGTGATATGTCCATTACAGGGGCTACCTTGTCCAAGAAGCCTTCCTGAGCAGGACTGAAGTTTAGCTTCATCTTCCTTGTCACTCAGTGGGTATCACTGTGTGCCTTATTAGCTACAGGTCAGCACACACTTCCCACACGCCTTACACAGCACGGCCCGTGCATCCTCACTCTGCCCCTTCCTTGACTCCCACAGGCTGAACCTTCCCTGCATGAGCAAATGAAGTCTGGGAGGCTGAGAAGCACTGTACCTGCTGACTTCCCTCCTTCATGCAATTCACCACAAAGATTATAAACTACAAAATGCAGGCGCAGTTTAAGAGCTTCAGTTACTGCCTGCAGATGAATTCAAGATGCTGCACTTCCTTCTGGGGGAGGGCAAGGAGAAGGGTGCGCTCTGGCAGCTGGGAGGCCCTAAATCTGACTAGAGCTTCTAGAAGACAGGGTGCTTTCCAGAGCATGGGATTGGGGATCAGAGAGCCCCCAGCACTGCCCTGATGGGGAACTGATCTTGGGGCCATTCAGCCAGTTTCTTCCAGCAGAAATATGGATTCTAAAGCCTCCCGTTCACGGTTGTGAGGAGGCTGAAGCACCGGCCCTCCGTGCTTCAGCGCGATCTTCCCCTTGGGAGCCTGGAGTGGGCTGAGGCAGCAGTGGGCACTCCGCATGCCAGATGTCCTGAGGTGCGTGTCTTTGTGTGGTGACCTCACTCACGGGGTCCCAGGCCTGGCTCTACCGCCAGAGGTGCGTAACAGGGCAGAAAAAATGTGCGAGATGGCTGGAATGCTCCCATTGGCTTTCAGTGTCGCGAATGGTCTAAGACCACTGAGAATAAACTCGGGGGCCCGGAAAACAACGCGGGGTTTTCCGCGCTGTCAAGGGGTGGTGCCCCGCGGGCGCGCGCTAGCTCAGCAACGCCCCCCGCCCCGCCACACACACGCGGGGGCGCGCCGCGTCCTTCACGCCAACCTACTGGGCTCGCACGCCCCCACCCCCATCTCTGGCCCCCGGGGTGCGCGAGCCAGGCCGGGGGTGGGGTCGCCGCTGAGCCCAGGAAGCGTCCCAGGCCCGGGCCCTCGCATCGCCCCGCCCCTCCCGCCCTATCACCTGCTGGCCGGCGCGCGGGCGGGACGGAGGGCGCGAGGGGGAGCGCGCGGTCGCCGGGTCGCCGGAGGTGAAGCGCAGCGAGGATGGCGGCGCGGGCCCGGGGGCCGCTGCGGCTGCTGCTCGCGCTCTCCGTGCTGCTGGTCCCGGGTCCCTCCGCCGCGGCGGCCAAGCTCAACATTCCCAAAGTGCTGCTGCCCTTCACGCGGTCCACGCGCGTGAACTTCACTCTGGAAGCTTCGGAGGGCTGCTATCGCTGGTGAGGCGCGCGGCCTGCCGGGCCAGGAGGGGCTCGCGGCGGCTCGGCCTTCATGCCGGACGGCGGGTGCGCGCTGCAGGTGCGCCTGGCGGACAGGCGGCGGGGCAGCTGGCTGCTCCTGAGTTGCCCGCAGGCGCGAGGCCTTGGGCCGGGCCGGCGCTGGGAGGCCTTGGGGCCGCAGGTGAGCGGCACCCAGACGGGCTCGCGGCTGCGGCCTGAGCGACTGGTCGCGCGTGACCTGACGGCGTGCGCGCGGGTCGCCGCCACTGCGCATGGCGCCGCCCGGGGATTAGGCACTGCAGTGTGGGGAGCCCGGCAATCCGCCCTCGCTGGCGGCGACCTGTATCTTTGTGGGGTGTCTAGGTGGAGGGACCGTGGGAGTTGGCCCGACGTAGGGAGAGGCGTTTGGCGCTGCAAAGGGTCAGGAGCAGGCTGATCTGGGAAGGGACTGACCTGCACTGCTTGCAGGGAGAGGAAGGCCCCCCGGGCTTCTGGCCTCAGCCGGGGGCCGCGTGTCCTTACCCTCCTTCTCTTTGAGACTCCAGGGAGGAGTGGTCAGGGCCCTGCAAAGCCCTGGCCTGAACGCCCATGGTTCTGTGTTTTGTCGGTGACAGGGAACTCATTACTGGCGCCGGACTGGTGTGGGAACTGAGTTTGTGGAGAAGCGTGGAAGGCTTCTGTGGGAGACAAATCATACCCGTTCACCCACTTTGGGAGGAGCAGAAGCCTCTGAAGAAAGGTTTTTCAGAGGAGACTCTAGGAGTCCATTTTACACAGGGAAAAATTAGAGGCAGGGGAATGAGATGGTTTACTTCAGATTCCCTGCAGAGTGGGATCTGCCTTGATCTGAGCCAGCAGGATGATGTGGTCCAGCCTTTTCGTTTTGCACATGAGAAGATGGGAGCTTCCGCTCTCAGGGTGCTGTCGGAGTAGGGTGTGACCGAGCCCCACCCATGACCCACTGTACCAGGCTGTTAGAGATTAAAAAGAGGGCAGTTCCCTGCCTCCTCCCACCTCCTCAGGATACTCTTTGTTACTCCTTTCATTTCTCTTTCAAGGACTGGATCCAGGTTGAGGCTTAAGGTGTGATCGCACTTGAGAGCCAATTTGTGTGTGTGTGTTTCAAGTCTCTTTGAGTATTAGTTGTGCTTGTATGTTTGGTGCCCTGGCTCAGACCCGCATTCTGTTATTTATACCACTTGCACCTATTTATGTTTTGGAAGTCTGCCTCCTGAAATAAGCACATGCCATATGCACTTGGAAGCCCTTGTTTCTGGCTTGGTTTCAGAGGCTGAACGTGGGCTTCAGATTTTCTGTATCCCTCTCTGGGGCCTTGTCTTGTGTGAGAAGATCGGTTATTAGTTAATACTTTGGAGAAGATAAAAGCTCATTCTCTTAGTTTTTGTAGTAAAAACTAAGGATCAGACCTAAACAATGTATGAGGTACTCAGCGCTTCTCTCAGGCATCCAAGAATAGAAATGGTTTTCCTATTCCTTGCTACATGGAAAGGAGGAAGCTGATTAGCTAGTTATTAAAAGCAGCTGGCTTTGAGTAAATCCCTTTGGAAGTATTTGTGTATAACTTCCTGTGAGATTCTGTAGCTGTACTTTTATTTCTAAAATAATCTCTCTCCCCTCCTGTTTTTCTTTTCTTTTTTCTAACTCCACTTTCTTTTCTGAGAGGAGTTGATGGATGGTGGATGGTGGTGATTTTAATTTACTTGGCAGGAGGAAGGGGAAAGCCATTCTTAGTAGATGCCTCAGGGAAGTGCTGAGTACCTCATGTGTTGTTTAGTGGCTCATCCTTAGTTTTTATTCAAATGTGTGACTGCCAGTCCTAAGTGTCTTCTCAGAGGTGTTTGGTGCTTGGAACTTCCCCTTCACTTTACAGGAAGATGTTCTGTCAATCAAGCATTAAAAACATCTATCGCTTTAGTTTTGAAGAAACTAAATTTTCTTCTGGAAAATGAAAATTTTCTTCATGGAAGTTGCCGTGTAGACCAGCTATACGTCTGCAGCCACATAAGAATTTTTTTTTTTTTTTTTTTTTTTTTTTTTAGTGGGACTGGGGTTTGAACTCAGGGTCTTGGGCTTGCATACCAGGTGCTCTACCTCTTGACTACTGCAGCCACATAAATCTGGGAGGAAATAGCCTCTTTATGCAAGGAGCTCATTGTTAAGGCTCTGAGATGAAAAACAAAGAAACTTTAACTCCTTCCAAACCGTGGGAGAATTTTACTCATCCTTTGAATTTGCTGCAAGCTCCAAGGGCACTGAAATCCAGGTACTGCCAGTGGCTTGCAGGTTACCTTTTCTGTTTCCTATGTGAAACATCTAATGCAAACTGCCCGAATTTGAGGTGGGAATGTCCCAGCCTCTGAGGGAGGTAATGGCACGGACATGGAAGCAGTGGCAGAGACTGAGTTGAAGCAGGAGCCACTGGGAGGCCTCCCTAGCCACCCCCTTAAACTCAGAAGTGCCCAGCACCCAGCCTTAGGGTTATTTGCCAGACTAAGTGATCCTTCCAGGTGTGCCCAGCCAGCGCTGCTGGTTGTGTCACGAGTTCTTGATTCATTTTAGATATTCTGCATTATTGAAAATGATTTCTAAAGTATATTTCACCAACTCCCCCTTTGTTGGAGGGATAGTACAGGGGTTTGAATTTGGCCTAGCTCTTGCCAGGCAGGCAGCTCTACCACTTGAGCCATGCTCCCAGCATTGATATTATTATTCATTGTTTTTCAAACAAGGTCTCATGTTTATACCCGGGCCAGCTTGGACTGCTGTGCCCAGCTTCTTCTTGGTTGAGGTTAGCGGAAAGCTAATTTTTTGCCGGGGCTGGCCCTAGAAGCTAGGTCTATAGCTATGAGCAACTGCACTTGGCTGTAGTTTCTTTTTAGTTATTTCTGAGATGAGACTCTGCTGCCTGAGGGTTATTGAGAAAGGTACTCTGCTAGAAAGGGGAAGGGGAGGGGAGCAAGGATGTGGTATCTGATAAAGTCATGCCCTGGCACGATCCACGGGACCCTCTGGAGTGGAATTGCATGGCAGGTTGTCCTGCCTTAAGCAAGGGGGGAGGCATAAGCTTTTCCACCTACAGTCAGGCAGCCATTGGCTGCCCCTGGGAGAGAGGTGCTGTGCATCCTCCCTGGCCCCTGCTTGAAGCAGCCCTGTTGTAAATTGATGCATTGCAGTATTCCTTGCCTGAGGTGGGGGTGGACTTTCCTGGTAAGGAGCACCTGGACTCAGCACCTGAGGTGCCCACTGTACTGAGCTGTGCCCAGACTTGCCCTCCTCCTTTCTGCCCCTGCACCTTGGAGCTGCCCTTATATGTTTGCCAGGCTCGGTCCTGAACCTAGGTGTGCCTTCTCTCACATGCTCAGTAGGGGCACTTTTCAGCCAAGGGTTAAGAATGTTCAAGCAGGCAAGTAGGATCCCTTTCCAGGCTGGGGAGTCACTTAACAAATAAGTGACAAATAGTTGTGACACTTATTATAGGCTGGACACTACTCAAGATCTCGACGATGTGACAGTAAAGGAATAGATGGTGTTCTGTGGAATGTATGGTTGTTTGTGGGGGTTAAATAACTAAGATGAGACACATCGATGCATTTGATGTAGGAATATGTGTGTAAAGGAAATGGAACGGCATGCTGAGATAAGAGCTGCAGGAGATGAGTGTGTTTTTCCATAAGATATTCAGGACATGCCTTCTTGGAGTTCAAATGGATCCTGAGTGGGCCCTAGCTGGAGGGAACAGCAAATGCAAAGGCTCTGGGGTGGGACTGAGTTTGTTGGAAGAACACAAAGGAGGCACATTTGGTGAGTTAGGGAATCAGAAGGTAAGGTTATAGAGGTCTGTAGGGGCTGGGCTACATGGGGCTTTGTGGGGACAGGAAGGGGGTTGCCAGGTCAGGTGTTAGGCAGGGTTAGATTGGGCCTAGCTCTCTGGAGTCCTACTCTTTTTCATGTGCCCTTGGCCCTGAGGACAGCCTTTGGCTGAGGCTGCCACAGGGTTGGACATGGCTATTGGGCTGGACTGGGACCTTACTCAGCTCCCCTTACCAGACCGGCTGGGAAATGTCTGTTGACTTGAGCTACAGCCTGGGTTGTTTTCTTCCTGCTTCCTTTGTGGGTTTTCACTCTGCTTGAGCTCCAGTAGTCACTGTGGTTACTTCCGCTCTGCAGACCCTGCCTCCTGCAGACCCTGCCTCCGTGCTGCAAGAGGGATGGGCTGAATCGATCACCACCCAGGACATCTCCATTCTTTGCACAACTCTCACTTCGCTTTTTCTCCCCACTATTGCTTTCTGGCCTGACCTGCTTGTGTCCCTGGGTTCTCCTGGCTCCTGCCCAACTCCTGTTCCGTGTTCTGAACAGTGGGGAGCAGCTCCCTCAAAGGCTCCCACAGTGCCAGCACATACTGTTTGCCAGTGGGACTCGTGATGACTGCAGCGAGAAAGAGTTACCCTTTCAAGGCTTGCTCTCATTCATTCAGTGCTTTGCACATGCTAGGCAAGCAGTCTTATCATTGAGCTATAACCTCAGCCACTTAAAATCCCCTCAATCTTGAGACTTCTTCAAGTAAAAGTTTTCTTTTGGTGTCAACAGTGTTGTTAACATTTTTTTCCTTTATTTTAAAACAAATATGTAGCATAAAATTTAAACCCTCACCAGTTCAGTAGCATTGGGAGCATACACATTGCTGTACAGCCACCACCATCATCTGTCTCAGGGGTTTTTCGGTCTTGTAAAACTGAAACTGTGTATCCGTTAAACACTAACTCCTCATTTCCTCTTACCCCAGCCCCTGGCAACTACCCTCCTACTTTCGTTGGCACTTTTTAAAATATTTGCCTGTCTTCTGAGAGCCTTGACAGACAGCAGTGTCCTCTCAGAGTCTTGTAACACTTTATGGTTGTCTATTTACACTTGTGTGTGAGGGTTCCTTTCAAATTACTTTTTCACTAAAAAATCATTTTTTTAAAAAGATACAAGTG